TATTGCTTCACCTTCTTTGGCTCCTAACAATAATAAGCAAACAACAATGAGGAAAGTTTGGTTGTTCTCCCTTTTATGGATTTTGTTATTCTCAATTGGTTCCGTATGTGTTCAAAATTCCTAATTTCGGAATTATTCATGTTTTCTCATTACAATTTCAAGTTTCACAAGCTTCGATTATTAAGAATACAAGTTCTAAATTTGATATTCTTTCTACTTCAACATTTCAAAACAAGTGGGGGAGAATGATGCATAATAGAAAACTCCTAAAATGGATATATTTTAATAACATAAGATATAAGTCAAAATCAATAAAAGAACATAAACGTTTTAGGAAGTTAACTAAAAGGAATAGGAAGATTTAATATCCTTATCTAAGTTTTGGAAAGTTTTATAATGAAGGAAGTAGGATAATTTTTTTCCTATTTCCTATATTTCCTTTTTTCTAGATTTCCTATTTCTCTAGTTTTTTCCAGTCAATTTATTTTTCTATTAGCTAGGTTTTTAAAATTTCTTTTTTTTTTTATGTACATTTGGTGCCTATAAATAAGGTAACTAGTTTAGTTATTAGGTAGACTATTTGTAATTATCAAATACTAAAATATTGCTTTGTTTATTGAGATCCGAAATCTCCAAGTTTGGTCCTCAATAAAATTGAGATTCTAGAATTTCTTAAAAAAATTAAACTAAGAACAAGACTTGAAGATTTTGAATCTCAACAAGTGAAGTAATATCTTAATATTTGCCTAATAATCATAAATAAATTACATAATAACTAAATTAAGTACCTCATTTATAAGTACCAAATGCATTAAAAATAGGAAATCTAGAAAACCTGGCAAATAGGAAAATAAAAGAAATTAAAAAGAAAGAACTATAGAAATAGGAAATAGAAAAACAAATCTTTTTATTTTCTTTATTATAAAACTTCCCAAAACTTAGAAAAAGAAATTAATCTTCCTATTCTTTTTAGTTAACTTTCTAAAACTTTTAGGCCTTTTATTGATTCTGCATCATATTTTCTGTTTTTGAAATATGTTTACTTTAGGAGCTTCCTATTCTGCACCAGGGAGACACCAGCTCTATGAACTGAGAGATTGAAATGAAGTAAACGGTGGAAGGGCCCTTCCGAAAGGAGTGAATATAAATACCATTTTTATACCAATGAAATATGTCATTGCATGCTATATTTACAATCAGTTCTGTCTTTGTTGCAAGGGAACATAATATGTCTTTCAAAATTGGGATAGTAGGAAACTTAGAATCTACAATACAAACACAAATATTCCATTTGAATCATCAATTACCAAACAACATTGAAAGCATACAGAAGTTGTGCATGAGAATATGGTCACATGACCTGTGTCATTTGTTTTTTATGAAATAAATAGTATTATTAACAATGGCACCAAAGGCTATGCCAACTCGTATACAACCCGTATCATACTCCCAAGTTGAATCTACCTAAGTTATTCTGAGATTTCTCAAGGAAATACCATCAAAAGCAACTAATTTGCAGAGCATAGAATTAGAATCAGGCATCCTATTCTATACAAGGAGCAACTCAAGTCATCTTAGCCTAAGCTTTAGATTCGTGAAGAGCAAAAAAGCTAGACAGAAGGAATTTCATGAACTAGCATAAAAATTCTTTTAATATCTAGTCATGCAAAGGGAAATTATGCAATATACCCATAAAGGCCTAAGGCTAGTAACATAGAATCAAGCTACATACCAAAACATGATTATCATAAAAAATAAATACTTACCCTTGCTGCTCCCTTTTTGTGAGCATGGTAGGTGGTTCCATCTTTATACTCTCCATACCAATAGTAAGTCCCAGATCTCTCATCATATAGAATGCCACCTCCATGAGCTTGAATAGGATTTCCTTCAGTATCCAACCAAATTCTACCAGGGAAGTAGTGGAAGCTATCATTTCCTGAAGCCTTCATTGGATCTAATGCAGTTTTGATACCTGGGAAGAAAATGTGCCGAAGTTGGGAATTCTCATCAAGAAATTCATCGATCAGTGTGGTTGTCCTCTTAGGTCTCCGCTTAGCTGCACGTGGGGAACGTTTACCCTTTGGTGGCGGAATTCGGATATTCTCTTCTTCCACTTGTTCAAGTTCACGGAATAGTGGGTGCCGACTCACTTGCAACTTAAGATCTCCACGCACCCCATCTTTGTTGCTTAAGAACGAGTATACATGAAGAAAAAGAACCAATCCCACCAAGCTTCATACAACTACAGAAAATGAACATCTACTCCCTGCATTTAAATTGAAAGTGGTGGTTTCTGTATTGTTCCTCATCGTCATTTTTCTCTTCCTTTTATCTCCAAGATAATGCTGCAATTAAGAAAATG